TCCGCTTTTTTAATGCCGATTCTTATCAACGCAGTATAATACGTTCTTGCTCGGCACATCTGCCATCCCATCACCACGTTGAATTCAAAAAATTGATGATGTAGTCACAGTGTAGTCATTCAAAATAAGTAGCACAACACCTCTCACCTGTGTGCTGTGTTTGCTGCTAAAATACGGAAAACTGAGGACAGCCTCACACTGTCCAAAAATAGTTCAACATTATCAGTCCATTACTGCATTTGCTTCCATTTATCTGTGGGCAGAAGTCTAAACACAGACGCCCAGGCTCCCACCCTCTTGGTTCCCGCTGGGTCACACCAAGCCGGAAAAGTTTCCCAACCATCTAAGTTGAAAAAAAGACACTTCACACAAGGCGAAATTTACTGCATGTTCACACCGTGCAATGGTGCTTGCATAAAATCTGGGCTCCGATGGCGTGGATATCAAGCTTCCACATTCATGCTCGTCCCTTGACTAAATGTGAAATAAACAAGGCCTCTGTTGCCATAACTAAACCTTCGTCTTCTCACAAATTCAGTCCGAGGCTGAAATGTTATGCCTGCATTTTCTCTCTCTCTCCTTGTCAGGGAGGCACGCTTTGAGATGATTTCTTTCAATTTGGGAAACGACTTGACATCGATCACAGCACGTCTTTTGTCTCATAACGGTGATTTTTCATTTTTCACCCTGCCTCACCGTGACATGGACAGCCATTATTATTTTTCAGCCACAATGGCTGATTTTCCTACGATTGTGAATGTTTCATCTGAGAAAGCCAAAATTGTACAGAATAGCTTGGTTCTAGTGTTGACCATCAGTGTACACCTACACGTTGCTAAGGTCGGTCGTCTGTGACTCACGTTCATAACAGCATCAGCTGGTCAACAAAAACAAAACTTTCTCTCCAACCCCCCCCCCCCTCCCCCTTAGTATTATTTACTCAATATCTGTTAGGAAACTCAGTTGAGTATTTTGGATTTTTCTGGTAAATTGAACTCGACGCAGCGGTTTCCTCATCTTTTCATCAACATGTCCTTCAGATATATTTTCTAATTATCTCATAATACGCAACAAGAACTCAATTTTTCTTTCCGATCAGGATGCCCTATTAGCAGCCACGGTATAATTACCTGGCTGGCTTGGAGTAGATTGAACATTGTGCAATGCAAATATTTTGATTAGCTCATAAAGTCTACACAGGTGCCCTGTCTCTTATTAAACTGAGCATGTGGTTAAGCACAATTCTGACACGTACATTTATATGCCAAAGGTGGAGGCAAGCAAATTGCTCCATTCAATACGCCGAGGAACAAAGCTATGTGCGCAAATAGTCTGGCGGCCTGTGAGTGACAGCTTAATACTTTGCGGCTTAGAGTAATTCCATAAAAGGTTTGCATTTTCAAGTCATCTTCTAGCACTGAAGCACTGACTGTAAGGCACCCCAGTAATTAGCATGCCTTTTGTGTGCCAGTAATGTGACAACTTCCCCAAATGGCAGTGGGATATTGATTTGATTGAAAGCCAAATCATGGATGATTATTTTTATGCTTCAAACTTCTGTTTTATGGTCAACCTATTCAAACAGGATCAATTCTCTTCAATGGAGCTCTAAAGTCTTTGAACAGGGGCACGCACGATTGCTGCTCAGATGTTTTTAGCCTTTTCAGCACCATGGACAGGGACAGCTCCTCATTTGCCACGGGGGGCAACGTGTTTGTCGGTCTTCATCGAAGCACACCTTTGGAGGCTGGCGTGCATATGGCCACAGTCGTTCACGTTTTATTGGGTAACTAGAACAGATTTTAGATCAATAGTAGCAAAAGTGCAGTGTTAAAGTCAGTCACTATTGTCAGAAGTGGCAAGTAAGTTGTGTTGCAATGATGATTTAGCACACAATCCTCATAGTGGATCTAAAACAGCAACAGGTGGCTATTTTAACTTGACCACAGACAGGGCTGCCTCAAATTTAACCTGCAATTATTACAATTTGAATCGAATTATTACAGCCACAACACCATCGGCATCACAACTGGATGTATCCTCCTAACGCTTAGTTTCATTTGTCACGTGTGATTTTAATGCCATGTAAGTCTATACTATTTGGGTGATGCTCAAAAATGATATCCTAGTTGGGCGAAGGAGCAATCATGAACAAGAAACATGCGGCAAGAGTAAGGAAGCGATCAAGTGAAAATTGTGTCATAAAACTCACCATGGATGGGTACAATCCAAAGATGGTCAGGGACAGGTAGGAGTACAATATACTCAACAGGAGCCGCATGCTGACTGCCGTGTGCTGCGGCTTTGCTCCCAGCTGTATTTCCTACTTCACTATGAGCAGCCCCACAGTGGCTGGTGGGGGTTTTAAGGCTCTTGGAGTGCACGGAGAGCTGGGAGAGAGCTCTGCTCTCAAATAAACGGCTGTTCGCTCACTAGCATCACACCCACCTCTCCTTGGTCGTCAGTGAGAGCCAAGTAAAGGACGATGGGGGTGAGGGCGAGAGAGAGAGAGAGAGAGAGAGAGAGAGAGAGAGAGAGAGAGAGAGAGAATTGTCGCGTCCATTTGATTGATCGATAGATAATATTTATCATTCAATCAGTCAATAGAATAATGTATTGTATCCTGGCAGTGAGCAAATCTGCATCAGTCACAATTCTCATATAAGTGTTCCAAAATGTCTGCAGGTATGGACGCGAAGGATGAAAGTGCCGCATGCAGCTCTGGAGCCACAGGTTGCAGACCCTCGATTTCAACAGTTAACAGATTGCTGTTATCATTTAATCAGTCTGCTGGCGTTCTCATCAATTTAATCAGTCATAAATCAAAACCAGACTAATCGAGTTTGCATTATTCATGATGTCATGCATTATTATTGATGAATCTGGTTGTACTTTTCAATAGGACAACGAGTGGTGTGTGTTTTGCATCAAAAATGGTGACTTTGATATAACAGTAGGAAGGAAGAAGGCGTGCTGGTATTTTCACATACCTGTGCAAGTCAGCACAGTGTGACCCATTTAAAAAAAAAAAAAAGGGGCGGGGCTGGGCGTTTGTCATGTTCTGTCTTGATTGTGTTTGAGCACCAGTTGGAGTGAAGGGCGTTGCCCTCCAGCAGGCGCACCTGTGCCGTGTTTTCCAATCAAGCCTTGCCATGTATTTAAGGACGGCCAAGCGTCCTGCCTGGTCATTGTTAGACTTTGCTCACTGTTGTGCTTCAAGTGTTGTGTTCCAGACCTCTCATAGTCGCTCTCATTTTGTCATTGATCTTTGTATTTTCATTATTCTTTGGTTTGGTGTTATTGGACTTGATATTTCATTTGTCTATTCTCACTTTCTCAGTGTTCTATTGTGTTTATTATTGCATTGTTTTTCCTGGCTCTTTGTGACTAGCCATTTCAGTTTGTACTTTGTCGGTGCGATGCATTTATTTTTGTAATAAATATTTTTGTTCTTGCACTTGTTGTAAGCCTGCATTGTTGGAATAGCTTCAATGCTGCACTGTTAACCCTCCACGGGCAGACGATATAAAGTTGGCTGGGGAGATCTGTCAAGTGGCCAATTGGAGACCACGTTCCATCACGGTCGTTCGTGTCTGTATGTGAAAACCAAGATACAGCAATATTTACGCTTGTGCTGTCTATGAATATATAACGATTACATATTTGCGCCAACCTTCTCCTGTCTGCCGTTGCATTCAAAATCTCCCGAGGCATAAGTTTACCACCACCGGAATTTTATTTTTTTTTCCTTTCCATCACTATTCATAGATTCATTCATAGGTTTTTGTCCGGATCGTGTTTCTACATCATGAGTCGATTGTCTCATCAACACAGCAGACTATTCTATTTCTTATCAATAGTATTCAGACCCGTTTTTATCTCTCTGCCGTGTAGATTGTGTGCAGGATTTATAGATTTATAGTTGGTTTTTGCTTAAGTGGCTGATAAGAGAATAAATAACCCAATACAATATCTGTGAAATATAGAAGGCGATCAACAGGAGTGGGCATCACTTTTCCCCAGACAGCGCATATTGAAGAACATTCATAAACAGCTCATCTGTGAACATCTAATATCATGCCTTTTGTCGTAATCGTCTTACACTGTTTGGGGAAATCATAGCTGCCATATCTGCCAACAACAACATTAACAGATAGTCAAAAGTCGTAGGAAGAAGTCCTATACCACCCCTCAAGCTAAAAGGTATATGTAGTTTTTGGAACCTGGTTCTACTAACCACGAGAACATCTTTAGGCCGACCATGTATAAAATTCAAGGCAGTTTATTTTTATTTATTTATTTTTTTAACAGGATTACCCAATAACACGTTTGACCCAATTTATGGGGGAAGCAGCAGCATAACTGTTAATGGCTTTGTCACACATTGGTTAGGGTTGCTAATCTTCAGTAGCAGATGTTAATTTGTAAAAGGACGTGAATTTGACGTGAAGCTTTGCGATAAGTACCATTCAATGTTTTGCTTGTCCAACAACCTGGGCTTCCACTTGAGTATTCTCTTCCGTTGCGCCCCACGAGGACGCCCGCACCCAAAGCAGGAGACAAGATAAAACGAAAATGACAAGTCAAGTTCATTTGCTGCTCAGAGCAGACCTGTCACTTGGCATTAGCTGCATGGACATTTGCTTACAATGGACAAGAACAAAGTACAAGCCGAAGCCGTAGAAAAATGATTTGTCCTTCCGTAAGACATTTACTTTCAATTGAAAATACATTGAATTCAATTAGACTTGGAAAAATACATTGCTTAAAATGCATTTGGGCTACTGGTGTCTCGTGGCATATATTCACTGTCATTTGAAACAGGCGTTTTGAAAATGATGCGAATGTAACAAAATGAGCATCGGGAAGCTGGTCTGCCAAGACCGTCATGCTCATAATTTCACCTTTTTTGCACCAATGGCTGTTCTATACCGGCAATCGTCTTTGACCAATACGAGGTGACATTTATTTTTCCCCATGTGTCAAGAATGAAAGGAAAATATGGTAAGATGGAACTTTATTGGTTTGAAGAGAGATGGGATTGCACCAGCCCAAAATCTTGAGTTGACGTAACATATCCTCGATAAAAAGCGTTTGACATGTACAGTAGGTGGACTACGATTGCAGTCATTTTACACAAACCACTGAGACATGCAGTTCACTGTTGTTTCCAATCCAGTTTTAATATTTAATTGAACTATAAAAAGCAACATTAAAACATTTTCTCTTGAAGGGCTTCTCATTGCATTCACAGAAGGGTTTGAACAGTGGATGTCTAGCAGTTGTGGAATTCTCTCTTTCAAAAAAATAATCCCCATCCAAAATATATAAACTTAATTGTTTAACCAAGGTATATACAGGGTATAACATCCTTGCATCCTAAAAGGTTATCAAGAAAGTCTGAGGTATACAACCAAAATTAAAAGCCTGTCAGAAAACAAAACAGAAAAGAAAAAAAAAAACAACAAATAGAATTAAATTAATTAAATGAATGCCATGATTGCTACTAGCACAGGATCACAACATTAGTGGGAGATGTCGCCGTGTTGTTGTTTCACCAACGGTCACCAGGGCATAGAACCTCAAGCTATGGAGGGTCAGTATATACAAAGGGCAGAGTCTAAATTTAGTACTGAACAATTGTTTGGATGCTCACTTTATTTGCCTCGTGAAAGGTACACAGTATTTGGTCATCGGAACAATCGCAGAATTCAAACATATGATGAGTCCTTTGCTGAAATAAAGGAGCCGGAAGCAGAATGGAACACATGCAAGTTTTGAAGGTGGATTCAGAAATAACAGTAATGTACACAATACTTTTTAAAAATTATTATTATTATTATTATCAAAATAGACCTTCTTTCTTTTCTTAGCACCTCTTTATTCATTTGGAGTGTGTTCTTGAACTAGCACCATTGATTTACGTACAGCACCTGGAGGATCCAGAGAGGAGGTCCGTGTCCACCCATGTCGCCTGACCGCGGCCTCTCTTGGCTCACTTGGATTTGCCTTCCTCTGCCGCGCTCTCAAATGTCCTTCACCTTTTGCTCCGTGTTGGGGTTAAGCGATGTGGTTCGAGCCCTACAAGGGCAACAAGTACTCTCCTGGTTTATGCATACATACACGGAAAGGACATGTTTGCAACACCATCTCTTATTCAGAACTTGCATGTGGCAAAGAAAAAGCCTGGGGGTGGTGAGGGGAGTAGTTGGGGAGGGGCGGGGCTAGGGAGGCTTCAGCTTGACTTTTTCTGCTGACCCCATCAAGTCCTTTTTTATTTTTTTATTTTTTCTTGTCTTTTTTTTTTTTTTTTATTTAGCCAAGAAAGCAGACCGGCCCAACTTCAAACCCGAACTTCTGATTTGGGTCCCCAAAGTCAGTCAACATGACATCGATGATTGGAACCTGATCGATTTTGGGAGTATTAATCTCCATCACAGTCTTTCCATAGCCCTTCCTCGTCTGCAACAGAGAAACAGAAGAACTGCTTTGAGACAAAAAAAAAATAAACATTCCAAAAGAGAAACATTTTGTCAAGTGATCTAAAACTATCCTGACGTCAATGAAATGCCTTTGCCAGCAACCCAAAGTTCTCCATATATTCATTAGCAGTTGACTTGCAAAACGTTGAAACGGTGGGGGCCGTACCGCACATCCGTCTGAGAGGGCCGTAATGTAAGGGTTGTTGTCGTAGGACATCTCCTCGTCATTGGCACCCAGGAAGCGCAGCGACTTGTCATAGCTGTCACTGGTGGCGTCATGCCATGCCACCGACTGGTGGCAGCTGTAGGTGAAGTTTTGCCTTGCCGAGGCCGTCAGTAGTCTGAGGAAGGTCATCTGCACCATGTTAATCGAGTTGCCATCCGAGTCGACGTAGGAAAGCTGCGGAGGGGAGCAAAGTCCACGTGTAAGCGCTTGAGCTCCCTCTGCCTAATTTCAACCTTGCAAAGCCTTTCTGAAAGCCGAACGCTGTAAATTTGATTCTCCAAGCTTACATATGCTTACTGTCACTTGACATTTCGCTGCATAAAAAGAGCTTTGAGCGAGATGGAGCCGATAGGAGATTTGGAATGTCACCCGAGAAGGCCATCGAGAAAAATACAAAGTACGTAACAAACGGCACCGTTTTAGTCGCACAAACGCTTCATGAGTAAGTCGGCATCTAAGCATTATTTATGGTGTAAAATGGTATCAATGCATCTTACCTCCCTGAATTGAATTTTCGGAATAATGATAATAAACAAGACAAAAACAACAACAGCTGAACAAATGAGCTACTTTTCAAAGACAAAGCGGCGTGCTGTGTGTGGAACAATCTTACAAAGTTTGTCCTCTACCCACCCATAGGACAGCGGTTTGATTGAGCAGGACATGCGCTGTTTACAACAGGGAATTTTTACGTGTTCAAGGGCAAAGAAAGGCCGATGGTCGCGTTATATCGTTTTCATTGGAGCTCTAGTTCAGTAAAACATGAGTGTTTTTATTTCCAAAAGTTAGTTTTATTTGTTCATTAGTAGCAGCTTCAGCCTCCATAGTGCATGTAGTTGGATGTATCTTGAAATGGTCTCTTTTTAATAGTCTGCAGCCTTTTTTGTTGCGTGCACAGCATGAGGATATTGATGAATCACGAGAGAGAGAGAGAGAGAGAGAGAGAGAGAGAGAGAGAGAGAGAGAGACAACACTTACTATTTTACCACGCTTAAATTCACTGAACCATGACCCAGGAACTTCTTTAGGCCATGAGGATATTCTGACCTGTGACAAAAGAAAGACACGGTATTTTTATGTCACTACTATCCCCCTTTTTCATGTTACTTCCAAGAAACAATTCTCATTTGCACGTGAGTCTTGCTTGTTATGGAGTTCCGCAAGAAGATGTGTTAAGATTTTGGGTATCAAAGCAAAGGCCACTTACCCCATTGGACTTCTTATCTGGGTAGATGCATGTTTCTCCCCCAGCAGTAAAGTTACAGTAGACTTTGAAAGAATCCCCTGAGCAACCTTGGTTTGGATCAATCCAGTATTCACCTAAGAAGAATAATCCAAAAAATATCAAATGACATCCATGTGAAAACGTAATCGTGGACCTCTGATGAAAAGTCTTAAGACATGACAGGTGGCCAAATCTGCTTGAATCCTCCCCAGCATTGAAAACTCTCAGATGCCATTAGGTATGATGTCATGTGACACCTTATAAAGATGATCAACATGAGTATGGTTTCATTTTCTTTTGGGCTTTGGTGTGTATGTTTCAGTTGTTTGCACATTTGTCTATTTTTCGGGGAAACCTCACCACCATTATTTGCTCATCATAAGAAAGTAAATTGTGAAATATGGCTTGGTCAAAAATCTTTTGAATAAATGTACCCTGCTAAGTGGGCTGTGTAACTTCCAATAAGCCGCCACTTCTTTTGTGTAACTTCTTTTTACACTTCCATGAGAGAAGCGATTATGTGAGCAGTTATCTTCATTCTTCACTTCTGTCACTGTTATTGTTGTTGGTATTTTAATGGTGGTTGACTTCTTTTTACACTTGTATGTTAAAAGCTGACATAGTGCAGTCGATTTAATTGTAGTTGATGCAATCATTTGAATCATGAATTTCTATTGAAAACTGACTTTCTCACTGACCACAAAACAATTAATCGTATTCATCCTGGTCGGGTAGCGCTTTTGTTTTTGGACCTACCATCAGGGAACTCTGGGTGGCAGAGTTGCAGATCTTTGCATGTTCTGGCTGGGTTGTTCTGTGTCCCCATGGGGTATTTCATGCGCTCAATATCTTGTTTAAGGTTGTTGAGTGAGCTAAAGATGCCCTCCATGCCCTCGCCGTAATCCATGAAGGTACCGGCCGCGTCGGACTGCATATCGCTGGAACGTTTGGTCTTCTTGGGGGAACGGACGGGCAGTGGCTGGATGACCTCACCCGGTGGGCCCTGCGGGGTGTGTCATATATGTCTACAATGGGAATTCTGACTCGAAACACTGCGCAACCGTACAATGCTTATTGACTCACGGGAGGACCTGGAGGTCCAATGGCACCATTATCTCCTTTAGTACCGGCTGGACCCTGAGAGACAGATGTTAACCATGCTCAAAATTTGCTGCATAACCACAGTGAATGCTGGTTCGTTCTTGTCAACCATATTTAAAAGTATTTTACTCACAGTTGAACCTTTAGCTCCCTTTGGACCTTGAGGACCCTGAATGAGATGGCACATGAGTTTGGCATTCCCTCCACAGAAATCGAAAAGATCCAATCAGTGAATAGACTTACAGGTAGACCAGGGGGGCCGGGGGGACCGAGGGGACCTGCTGATCCACTGATACCCTAATAAAAAGATGAGATAGAGGCGGCCATGCATCAAAGAAACAGTGAAGAGGAATAGTATTACTGTGAGACTTGAGTCATGGATCAAAAGTTCGATTAGCGCATGGCATGAATAGAAAACAGACACAGAAATGTTATCTGAAGAGAATTATGTTGATGGATTATCAATTGTCATCATAACATTTACGTTTTTTTTTTTCACTTCTCCATCCATCCACCCATCCATCCATCCATTTTCTAATCCGCTTCTCCTCATGAGGGTCGCGGGCATGCTGGAGCCTTTCCCAGCCATTTGCAGGTGGACACCCTGAACTGGTAGCCAGCCAATCGCAGAGCACACAAGACCAACAATCATCCGCGCTCACACTCGCATCTGGGGACAATTTTGAGCGTTCCATTGATCTGCCACTTTTGTCTTTTGTCCTATCGGTCAGTTAACAAGTTGATGAAAAGTGATGCCTTGTGACTCTGGTCAAAAACTACTTACACCGTCTCCTTTGCTACCAGATGACCCTTGCGGTCCAGGCAAACCTCGGTCTCCCTTTTCTCCTTGTTCACCAGGAGGCCCGATCAAACCGATTAAACCTGGATGTCCCTGAAAAAGGAAAATGCACATTTTAAAGCGCAATGGCAAAAATGTGCAATACACGCCAGCCAATTCCGTGATTGCTTCCCGTCCACAAAAATATATGAAAAGTAGGCATAGGCGAATGGAGGCTGACATTTCATTCGAAGTCAAAATCCCCGTACATTGTTGTATAGACACACAGACCAGTTTGAAGCACAACCGTAATGGTTTTGAAAAAGCGATGTGCTCTAACCAGACACTATGCATTTAAAGCATTGCAAAACACAACCTTCTGCCTTACACGGTACTTTTAAATTGCTCTTTCTCGGGCCATCGTGTCAGTGTGTGGGAGGCCATTTTGATGCAGTCATGTGGGCTGGCACAATCTCCTCCGTACTTGTATTTTACCAGCAAATTCAACAGAGGCATCAAGGATACGATTCGAGTGATGCATCACACTGCTGAATCCCATCGAGAGTTTTCCCTGGATTGCCACGGTGGCCCCAAAATACTTGGTGCAGCATTTCTTATTTTTAAATATGTCATTTTGGACCGCCTCAAAGACATAATAACGTTGTCCAAATTGTTTCTGACCGCAGCCACAGTGGGACCCTGAAGTCTTCGTTTCCAAATGTTCTCATGAGGATCATCCAATCAAGGGGAACAATCACCTTTTCACCCTTGGAGCCTGGGTCACCTTTCAGACCAGGAAGTCCAGGAGGACCCTGAGCAAAAGTAGAAATGAAAATGAAAAACCTCTTGGTCCTGAATAAATCATAACAGTGGAAAAAATGAAGGGAAGTGAGTCGAAAAACAGAAATGATGAAGACTGCAGCCAAAAAACAAACTGAAGGACGTCCTGTTTCCGAGGTGAGATGTACTCACCATTGGTCCAGGTGGGCCGTCTTGTCCCGAAGCACCGGGAAGTCCTTGTTCACCCTGTGAAAAACATGACAACAGTCCAGCTTTTGTATTTCCTCATTTTCTGTGTTCGTAAGCGAAATGGATATTTCACTGACATCTAGTTAATGTCTTATCGTATTTTTAATTGGAAGGGAAGTCACTGAATGAACTCCTGTTTTCGAGCCAGTATTGCATTAATCCGCCTTAATTCTGCGTGAAGGGAGTTGTCTCTGTTAAAATTCTTACTGAATGGCGGAACTTTATTATCGTGATGCGCTGGTGGGGGCAAAGTATGAAGGCACTTTGGGTATACTTGTTGGTATTTAGACTTACAACAGGGCCAGGTATTCCACGGAGACCTTCTGGACCAGGCTTTCCGGCAGGTCCCTGAGGCCCAACAGGTCCAGTTTTACCCGCTGGACCTTCGGAGCCAGCCTCACCCTGTGAAGAGAGACACAGGAAGTTGCTGCAAATGTGGGAAAGTTGTACAAGTTGGTAAAAGTCACGATGTAACAATATCACTTGAAGCCAAGAAATCTAATTAAGTTTTTGTTACCTTGGCGCCCTTCTCTCCTTGTCTGCCTTCAGCACCAGCCGCTCCCGGAGGCCCCTGGGAAGGAGGACAGCATTGTTAGCATGTCAACATATAATTGACGTTATTATGCAGCCATTGTTTGCAGACAAGTGACCGATCGTCTGTGACACATTTCAGAGCCTGCCCATAACAAAAGATAGGTATTTCTTTTATTCAATTTAATAAGTAAAATTGGCAATATATGGCATTGGCATTTTTGGTTTTCCTTTTATACAGGGCGTTTTCTTTCTTGGCGACAGTTCCCTGTATTTTACGTATTTTCAAGAGCAATGATTTTATTGCATAAACTGTAATAATTGAAGTCATGTAAAGTAATCCATGTTGTTCTGTTATGGCGTTGTCTTATTGGGCAAAAATCCCGCCTAGCAACCAGCGGCCATGAAAAAACATCTCTAAAGCCATTGCAGAAAACTGATCATCGCCTATTTTTGTTCAAAGAGTTCAGAAATTAACCAGGGCAAGCATGAGTACACAACTTCAAATGTCTTGAACACTGCTTCAGTTGTGTCAAGATCAATTGGAGTGACTTCGTTTTGTCTGCTTGAAGTTTCATCAAAAGACAGCGGTGTACCCATGTCCACATTTGCAGGCTCGTCCTTCTTTCTCTCCTCATTCCACCACCAACTTGCTCGACTCATGTGGCCAGCCAAAGGCGGGGTGCTTATTGATCGAAAGCCCAAATTGAACACTCTAACACCCCATCCAGCTTCTCCTGCTTTGAAGCTTTCATTAGCTTGTCATTTTCACATTAACTGGTGCTCGAGTGTCTCTTCATCAGCGCAAAACATTTCACTTCAAGCAAAATACACCAGGTTCACAGAGTAGGCGTGTTTTCCGAACAAACTTGCTGTAATAAGGAATTCAAAACGAACTAAAATGAAAAATCCAAAACCATCATAACCATGGTACAGTTCAGTTGTATTTAACTTTAGTACAATAGTTATTTCAACAAGGGAGTGACTGGACTACCTCTTCCAACTAAAGTCCACCATAATCCATTTTGTGACTTTTCAAATCGAGAAAATACTGCCTCATTTTCCGTCAGCATGAAGGCTCACATCTGAAAAAGCAGCTTAGTTTCACACACATATCTAATTCGTAATATATAGAGCTTTTAGTCCAGCTGAATGTCTTAATTTGACAAGGATTCCCAAAAGACTGCTTTTAATAATCCAATAAGCGGAATCAAAAAATGACCTAATCGTATTCTGTTTAACATTCCTTGATGCAACTCAAACATCCCACTAGCAATGGTTCCACATCCATGTTATGAATCCGCTTTGCAGCAGCTGTCAGATGGCAGCATGGAATCAATAATGTGTCACACTTGCAGTGGCTCTCATTTTGAAGAAGATTTAAAGGAATCAAGGATCAATTACTCGATAAGCCTTTTTTTTTCCATTTCTTGTGCGTAGAGGGAGGGGAAAAAAAAAGGATTCCCGATTTTGAAATCTCACTGTTCGTTTCCCATCAGACTGCAGAGCGTCTTTCGCTCACAGCATGTTCGCCTGAAATCTCCACCTCTTGTTATCCCTGCTTTATTTTTTAATGAAAAAGAATCACTCGGGCTGGAGTGCGGGCGACGTGACAAGACCGAGCTGTTTAGGAGGACAGGCACTGTCTCATTTATTTCAAGACAACACGTGACACTCGCATTGGCTCATAGACGACAACTCTCAGACATTGACAGCATTGATATGAGGTCACTCCAGAACTATACATTTTAATATGCGACTTGTAGCGTTGCCTGGATCATACGGAAAAGTCAATCGCAATCACCATAATAGCAATGGACTTACTCTTTTGCCAGGAGGTCCAGGTGGGCCAGCTTCCCCTGATGGACCTGGGGGTCCCTTGAGATCAGCAAAGAAACACAATGTTATGTTATCTCTTACGGTGAATTAAAACGTTTGCTTGAAATCTGCGATATAGCGGTGACAAGAACGCTGAGAACATTGCCTACATGCAGATTCAAACCCCCCAATATAGATGTGAACAACTTACTGCCTGGCCAGTTTCACCATCGTCTCCCTTCTCTCCTGGTTCTCCATCTGTGCCCTAATGAATACAAATACGGATGTTGCCCAAAATATAATAATAATTTAAATAATCGGCCCTACTAAATGCAAATCAACCAACATTTTAATCAGAATTCAAAAGAATTGTTGAAAGCCAAGTAAATGTTGCCGGAGGATTTCAATACTCACAGCAACACCTGGCTCTCCGGGAGGACCAGTGTCTCCAGGGAATCCGACGGGCCCCTTTTCAAAGCAAACAAATTGTCATTGAAGAAAAAGAGATGAGATGAGTTGGCGATGCTGCTTTTAATGACAATGTAGCCGATACTCTCACAGCAATACATTCCATGAGCAAGCAATCATAAATTAAAAATAAAAAAAAATCAGAAAGACTTTGAGATCGATGTAGTAGGTCTCATGTCAAGCAGCAGATTTGACAATACTTACGGGGTTACCCTTTGGGCCATCATCTCCGGGGGGACCTTTGGCACCAGCGGGTCCAGCAGCGCCAGGAGGTCCTGCTTCTCCCTTCTCTCCTCTCTCGCCTTTGGGTCCCTGTCATAATTGGGTCAATAAAGGGTAAATGACGTTAAAATTGACTTGCAAAGTCAGCATCATTCACAAAACTGGAATACCATCTCATGTTTTCCAAAAATGTGAATTATTGCAAAATACAAATTAATCACGACTGAAAGAGCTGTTTGTGGTTGTCTGAATGGACGCAAAAACCAAAGCTTCACCGTCACGCCTGAATTTCTAAAATATCATTCACGTAACAATTATTTGCAAATGTGAAAAACTTGACAACTGGTTGGGCCGCGGTTATGATGGGGGTCTAAAAAGCCAGATGACTTCACTATGAAAATGCCACTGTGCTGTCAACAAAATACAGATAACGTACCCCAGTGCCGGGCTCTCCAGGTGGTCCGGGGTTCCCGGCCTCACCTTGTTCACCCTTGCAGAAAGACAAATCTCAGTGACTGAAATGATTGTTGAGGACAGCACACCATGTTTTGACTCGTACCTTTTCTCCCACTGAGCCAACGGGACCCACGCCGCCTGGAGGACCTTGTGAGCCCTGCAATTCAGACAAATGACTTGCAGTACAACTGTTGATGACTGGAAAGCTCGTAAATCCACAGGCAATCCATTTACTGTCGCAGCTGTCGAGCGCAGCCACTAGTCAGTCTAAGTGCATCAAATTTAATCATACGTACATCAGCTCCACTAGGACCCTGAGGACCTCGAGGACCAGGGGGGCCAGGAGGACCCTAGAGACAGAAAACAATACAGTTGGGTATCAACTGTGCACATCTTAACTGTGTCAAAGTAGAGGTTGCGTTTCTTACCATGGGGCCAACATCACCGTTTTCTCCCTTCTCACCAGGAGGTCCTGGAAGCCCCTGAGAATATAAAAAAACAGGCCCATGAATAAAAAATCGGAAAGGGCTAGGCAATTTGAAGTGACTTTCCAGGAATATTTGATGGGAATTTGTAAAATATATTGCATTTGTCTCGCTGCAAAATTGTGCAGAGTTTTGTACTTTTTCTGTTCCAAGCTTTTCTCTTGCATTGTCCTTCCCACAAACACTGCTCACAAACACTATTGATTGTATCTATCCACCAACAACTAAACCCCACCCAGCTACTTCAACTACCTGCTCGACCTAAGCCATAAGTGTGTGTCGCCCTAAAATGGAGTGCGCGCTGCTCGAAAGTCAATTCGGTATGACAAAACCTCTGTGCGATGCATGATAATTCCTCATCTCATCTGTGTCAAGTTGTCCGCTGAGATTAAATCGTTAGTGGCCTAATTATGCAGAATGCTAAATGTGCTAAAGAGAAGCAGACGAGTGGAGAAGGTTGGTCTCTGCAATTAATGGAAAGTCGGTGGCAAGTGATTGAATTCTATTTAAAAGTCAATTACATGCAACCCGGTGCAGAGGAACTATAATACATTTTAACAATGTTTCTAAAGTCAACAATGTTAGGCGCTACGACTGCCTTTTGTAAATCATATGAAATGATGCTTCATCCTTAAACCATTAAACAAGGTCAAAAAAAAATCTATGGCAGGACAGCGACTGAGGGAAATGAGTCAATGCCTCTAACCTGCAGGCCGATGGGACCAGGTGGTCCAGGGAAACCTCTGGCTCCTTCATCACCTTTCTGTCCAAACATACCCTGCTGACCTCTGGGACCAGGCTCTCCATCAGCTCCCTGGGAACCAACAGTTTTGAATATGACACCAAAACGACACAAGTTCAATAACATAGTACAGTAATGTCGTGGCAGGTTCGTTCATGACAAAACAAGGACACTTACAGCAGGACCTGGGGCACCAATGGGACCTTGAAGACCTGCTGGTCCGGGCGGACCCTAATAAACATTACAAAAAAAAAAAAAAAAAAACATATAAATGGTTCTGCATGTAAAATGCCAAATGACGTTTGTAAATGTGAGGGGAATTCCTCTGGAACCCACCTGTTCTCCCTTATCAGCTTTGCTTCCTTTCTGGCCCGGCTCGCCAACCTCTCCCTGGGAAATACACAGAAAGGTCAATTAACTGTCTCGAAGAAAGGGCATCACCCTTGACAGTCATCAAAGCGATCTAAGTTTTAGAGCTCAGTTAAGAGGCCGACCAAGGAGTTCAGCAGTGCTTAAACACTGACTGACCTTATCACCATCCTCTCCGGGTGGACCTTGTGGTCCGGCAGGTCCCGGCAAGCCCACGGGACCCTGGACGCCATCACGGCCAGCTGGACCTTGGGGACCTTTCTCACCCTAATTCAGTGAAGACATTTGTTTGCATCCTTTTTGATAGATAAGGAAAGAAACTAACGTATGAACAGATGTTCTCCAATACGTACAGGTGCCCCTTTCTCCCCAGCGGGACCTGGGGGACCTTGAGGGCCAGGTCTGCCAGACAGGCCGATTGGACCTGCTGAACCGGCGGGACCTCTCTCACCAGGAGAACCCTTCATAAAGACACAAAGAGATTAAAATAAGTCAATAATAAAGGCAAAATATATCCACAATGATATTGCCTTTGATTGGAACTTTAATGCTATCCGATCATTATATACACATATCTGTTATCAAATTTGACAGTCCATTGACCTATAGTACTTACAACAGGACCAGGTGGACCCTGGGGCCCCTCTCCTCCCTTCAGACCTGCAGGACCCTAAGGATGAAAACAAAAGAAGTACCTAGGTTATTTCCTTCAGCAATACAGTACTACCTCCGACAACATTTCACATTAAATCAAAGAGCGAGACTTGTAGACATGCTGTATATGGCATGAAACTGAAAAGAAGCACTGCAGATAGTGCCCTTACCGTGGCACCAGGTAGGCCTCTCTCGCCTGGAAAACCTCTGAGGCCGGGGGGACCATCCTTGCCAGAGGAACCCTGCGGCCCGGGGTCTCCCTGAACGCACAATCAAACATACCGCTGTAGGTCGGATGCATTTGTCGATCAAAACAACTTCATTGCGACATAGACAACGATCAATCCGATGCGAGCGGAGGCATTCAATGGCTTGGCTATTGCTCATCTTGTATTTATTGAGAATACCATTTTGGTAACTCTAAAAAGGAAAACTATAGTATAGAGTGGTGGTTTGATTTTCTTTTTGAAAGTAGGAATAATGCTTTTATTTGACTTTACACAATTAAAATTATATACATGTACAGTACATGCAATATATGTATCAGTCATATATATATATATATATATATATATATATATATATATACCACATACTGTTCTCTACATTCTATACATTTTTGTTGTTTAAATTAGGAGAAAAAAGGCATCAAAAATCACTCGTTTCAAACTGAATATTTGCAAACTTCATTTAAAAGTTCACATAGCAAGTTTTAGGCCCATTGCAAGAGTACAGTGACTGTTTTCAAGCACAATATATTGCTACCGTATTGTGATACCATATGGGGAAAACTGCAGTGATGAGAATGACATTTTCCCTTTTTTTTTTTTTTTTTTTTTAGCAGGAAAGTTTGTTCTAGCTTTGTTCTTCCCATTGGGCACACTGCAAACAGGGAGGCGCAGCCGCAGGAGAGCCGGTGGGGCTTATAAAAGGATTCAGACTCTGCTGCGTGGACTTCAGCAAAGTGTCCCTAGCATACTAAAACAGAGGCCTGAGTGAAAACGAGGGAGGGAAATGGCTCTGGGAGTAGTAAAGTGTTTAGAGTTAGCTGACAGACTTGATTAGATTGTCTGTTTTAGGGTAGATGGGGGTGGAAATGAAAGCACAAGACTGGAGAGAGGAGGGATGCAATGCAGGTTAAGTGTGACGGGGAGTTGTTTCCACAAAATGTCTTCTGACTGTCCGTAATGGGCTCTCAAATGTTGACCGAGGGAAGAATTTAACCATAGCATTTCCAGTGATATGTATTGTATCATAAAAATTGTATGTTCATTGTCCGCTGCTTCTTTTGTCAGGACTATACCCCATGGGCTCTAAATCAAGTCCGATGATAGCGACATAACACAAATGTATACTTAAGTAGGGAGGCACACCACTATTGTTGTGGAAAATTAGTTGAATGAATTACCACCATCATTTCTTGACATACCTTTGCTCCTTCTTTTCCAGCAGCTCCAGGGAGACCTTGCTCTCCGGGTGGACCAGGAGGTCCAGGGTGGCCTCTCTCACCAACAGGACCAGTCTCTCCAGTGGGTCCCTAAAGTCAAATGTATTTCAGCAGAAGCCCAAGAAGTAGATGTGACTTTGCACACAGTCTAATATCGACATGCATTCATAGATGTTTTTTATTTTTTTCGAAATCCTTTTCTTTGTTTTTTTTTTTTTTGTTTGTTTTGTTTTTTACCTGGGGCCCAACAACGCCTCCTGGGCCTGGCGGACCAGTTTTTCCTTGAAAACCCTGCAAGAAAATAGACACATTGATTAATGATAAATACACACTCCCAAAAATAAATAAAGAAATAAAATAAAATAAAATGAACTAAGAGAAATGCATTTCAGGTAAGAGTGCAGTGATTGCGTGATAGCATTACTTTGAATAAACATGGGGTTTTCCTAAGCAGCATCACTTCATCACCTACATCTCATTTTTTTTTAAATATCTTTTTAACGTGACAGAATCTCAGGAGGATGTCAGACTGCTGTCTCAAGAACAGTGTGAATGTCACCATTTGTGAAGACACACACACACACACAAAATTCTCTGGGGAGTTGGGTGGAAAATACTGAACAATTAGTTGTGAAAAAAGCTGCAGAATAAATTCACAGTCGCGCTTGATTGGTTTATGCAGCGCTGTATTCCCTTTGGATGTGCATGAACATTCTTTACCCTTCAGAGGGTACGCTACACTTTTGTGAATTTCCCACAGAAAAAAAAAATCTATAAATACTGTTGTTGCAAAATCTATTTTGATAGCACTTGTCCTCATTTGAGAAGGTGGAGCCTCTCCCTGATGACTTTGGGCTGTGAGTGGCTGCGTAAACTCTGGTCGCCAGTCAGCACCAGGACACGTCGAGCCACGAAAATCATACATTCACATTTAAACCAAAACACAATCAAGATTTTTCATTTTCATTCATGAAGAGATTCTGAGTGAAAGGGACACACAAACAGTAGTGGGAGTGGGGTGGTGCCTCGCTCAAGGACACCTTGACAACAATCACTGCACACACTCGCATCTCTCCGACAGCTATTTGCCATGTTTACAAATTTGCCGCCTCGGGACTCAAACGAGTGGCCCTACGGCTACAAATCCAAGTTCTTAGCGGTGAGCTAGTGCTGCCCCAAATTACTTATTATTTAGTGGAAACGGAGCTCCGTCTTGACTCTCTGAAAAAATCTTTATATGCAATTCCTGCAATGCAACTTGTGCTGGTGGGCCTGGGAGCCCCTCAGCATGTTTATGACTGTGATCCATCCACATATTGGACACCTGCAGAGCGTGCGCTTCAGCAATAAATCCAGGACCATAAACATTCTAATGACGAGTATGTAGTCGTTCGGATAGCAGAAACGGAAGGTATCGTATAAGGCGTTAATGTGCGAGTTTTTAGAAGAACGTCTAGCCCTCTGAGCCTTGTCCAAATGGTGATGCATTTCAAGTATGGAATAAAATTGGCGAGAGGCTCATTCAAATCAATGCGGGGATTTGGATGACCTGTGTGTCTTATGACATACAGTATGTAATAGCAAAGAATATATAATGGAAGTACTTACCGTCTCGCCACGCTGGCCTGGGTGTCCAGGCAGTCCATCCTTTCCAGGTGGTCCCTATTTGGAGGAAATGAACACTCTTATTCATGAGGTGGACACCGGTCGCCATCAGTAAAAATAAATAAATAAATAAATAAATAAATAAATAAATAAATAAATAAATATGAAGTTCCAATTGCAGCATTTTATAAGCAAGTCATATGGTGCAACAAAAGAAGAAATATCTGTCTCGACACATCTAATGACCCACATAACTATTACAGGGCTGAAAGAATTAATGGGGATGTTCCTGTGTCCCAACCATCTTCTTTTGAGTTAGACTATTTCATTTGTACGGAATTATACATATGTCTAGGTACCACTAAGGTGGATGAAGTTCTCATATCATCTGATTTTCATATATTGTATCGCCTTCAAGTAGTAAGCTACTTACAGGTGGTCCCTTTGGTCCAGGGAAGCCCACAGGCCCCTGAGGTCCTTGAGGTCCCTATAATGAATATATCAACTGTCAGACCAATGACACAGGTGTGGAAATATTGTCTCCTCCATGCAAATCAAAGATACCAAAATCGTTTCAACAAGATAGTTGATAGTCACAGCAAAAAGTGCCGTTTGAACAAATTAATGAATACCGTATAAGGTTTTGCGGTTCCTAATAATCCCCAGTGAATAAAAGGAACATTGCAATGACCACCAAGAGGGGCTTTATTAGAAAGTTCAGTCTGTTTAGTTTTAATAGAGTCATAAAAAAGTCCTCGATTTAATAAGCGATTGGAAATTGCACAATTACACAGAGGTAGTCAAGGGATGAAATAAAATAGATTGGAGAGAGAGCAATGTGAGAAATAAGGGGTCAAACATGAGCAGGGTTAACGTCTAAAAGGTACATTTAATATTAATAACCTTCAATTCAAAGTACTTTTGAAATCAACTGTTCATTCTGAGCAAGAAGCTGGATCCCAGCGATGTTCGGCCAGCACACTCCATTAGACTTCATTTTATCGACACATAAAGTGTGTGTGGATCAAGTCTTGCAGCATTCCTTAATTAACTTTTTTTTTTTTTTTTTTTTGGGAGACGGGGCGGGGGCGTCCTTTTTTTACCCGTCAAATAGTTATTTTACCAAGCACTGTAGCCATCTCAATCAACAGAAAGCAAAGGCATAAAAAGGGAACGTGTGTCACAGCAGCATTATCCAGTTGCTAAATCATATGAGCAGGTATTTTCTTACCTGCTCAAACATTGTTTTTAAGGAGGGATAGTGGTTGCCTAATCAACAAATCTAAAATTCAAAGAACAGTACTGCTAAACCGTGTTGGATCAGACTCATGCATCATGGACTTACTCTCTCACCAGGCGGGCCTGGAGGACCGTCATTCCCGGATGTACCCTGTAAGGCGCAGCAACAATCATCATCAGTCCATCTTTCCAAAGCATTCAAAAATCTTTCCGATGATCAGATATTGCTCAAAGTCGTCATTTGTCTGACTACTATTCGTTTCTTGTATGTTCTGACCATCCATCACTGAATCATCTACCTTGGGGCCTGGCTTTCCTGTTGGGCCTCGAGCTCCTCGAGCCCCACGAGGACCCTGAGAGAAAAAAAAAAAAAAGCAACATTTTATCATGAGACAACCAAAGTAGATACAACCAAATATTATATTTCAAGGTTGAGGAGCATTCATGTAACCTGGAAATGATGCATTGATTGTTACATACCGTTGGCCCCCTTTGTCCTCTTGGACCAGGTTTGCCTGCAACACCCTATTAGAGAGCGCAACAATTACTAAAACATGAGATTAAAAAGTTCATCTGTCACGACCCAGCATTGTTCATTTTGTAATACTCTTAACGATGCTGTAATGACATATAAGGGAAGAGTGCATTTCTTACCCTGGCACCTTTCTCTCCATTGGCCCCTGGGAATCCAGGGAAACCACTGGAGCCCTGTCAAAAGTGGGAGCAAAAGGATCCTATCACATAGAGCCCTTGTCCTGTGTTCATCACAAGTGTAGATTAGATTAGGCTATTAAAATGAGGAACACATCTTAAAGGAACACATGAGGATCACGTGCACTCATACACCAAGGTGTCAAAGAAAAGACAAATGAGCCAAATTGCATTTCAGGAGCAGGCGATGAAAGACCGTCTTACCAAAATGTGATGCCCAGTCAAGTTGCATTGGAAACATCAAACAAGTGCAAATATGTTGAGTCACACAACCTTTGATCATTTCATGTCATTTCCGTGAATTATTAAAACGCCATACTTACACTGATTGTATGCAATGTACGGCATTTGCTTACACTTGCACATCGTGGTTGAATGGCTCATTTTCACATTTTATTGATTTTTTTTAAGGTAGTTTGGGGTCAATCGTGAAGGTTTAAAGCAACCTTGGATAGTAAAATGAGTAATTTACCTTCGGTCCTTGTCTTCCTGGATATCCTGGCAATCCCGGTACTCCCAGTTTACCCTGGGGAATATTAAATCATGAAGCCACAATAACAAATATTTTTCAGAAATGTGTCGACGAACACTTGCCGTATTACCTTCTCTCCAGCAGGACCTATGGGACCTGACTCTCCATTGGGCCCTGATCTTCCCTTGGGACCTTCAGGACCATCCTCTCCACGAGGCCCCAACATGCCAACCTCACCCTGATGCCATATTAAGAAAAAAAAAAATGAAATGATGACCTCTTGTGACTTGGAGATGGAAGAAATTTATGAGGTGGATTAAGTCTTCCTCACCCGGTCTCCTTTGATTCCCATGTCACCTTTGAAACCTGGGAAACCATCTTCACCCTAGAACCAAACAAGAACAACCTACAGCATGTTTCTAGAATTGCTCATTGCTTCTTTGCAAGCGATCAGTCATTTCACACCTGATGTGATGGATAGTTGAGCTTTGCTTGCATCACATCTCATACGCTCATACGCACGAGGTCAATCCCATCCCTTATTCATGACAAAACCTTTACCCCGCAAGGCTCAGTAGTTTAAATCACGTGCGTTCATGATTCAGGAACTATACACATGAACGCCTGTCACTATGGTAACAACAATATCACACAGTCAGATGGTGTACTTTATCCAATAGAAGTCGTATCGATCTCAAGTGACCGGCCATCTCTGACACTTCAAAGAGTGATTCGTTGAAATTCTGCGTGGTGACACCATGCACAAAAACTTCAAACGGCTTGAGATGAAGTGAATTGTTCTTTGAAAGTGAGACGCCTTGGGCACGACAGATTCACGTTCACACAAGTCTTTGTATCCACCGGAGGAGGCCATCTTCTGACCTCTGCGAGGCAAGAGCTCAAAGGATTCAGACGGACGTGAGGAGGGCCAAGACGGGCCCGGGTTACAGAAGCTTAAGCTTGAATACAGGCGGCCTCCTCAAACTTTGTTTCAAGTGGTCTATTTCTCTCCAGAAACGAGAGAAAAGTGAAGTCGTCGTCATTGGTAGAATTGTTTCCAAAAATTCAGTTCATGATGAAAATGGTGACAAAGCTATCCCCAATTCACACAAACTGGCAAAATGCGTATGCCAGGCCAGTAGTGGGCAATGTCACTTTGCAAATAAAAATGCACCCACTGCTTTTGAAAAGCCTTTTTCAAGATGGGGGTCTAAGAGTTGGCATATGTACTTTAAACAAAGTGTCTCCTCTGCTTATATTAGTGGTGTCATAAATGTAAAGTGCTTTTAAACTCTCTTGGTATGGCAAACTGGCAATGGCCCCTTTGCTGTATTTGGTTTTGACAAGCAGCGAACACCTTTCGCATTGCTTCTTTAAAAGGATACATAAAATGATACATAAAATAACTTTATGATCTGAACAATGAAAAGCTACTTCGGTATTTACCCACAAACATTGAGAATTCACGTCCCTCACTCGGGTTACATGGTATTGAGAGCGGTTAGTATCTTGGTCTTACCTTTTCTCCCTTTGAACCTTTCAGCCCTCTCACACCATCAGCACCCTGTTGGACAGGAAACATTCATCAAATGAGGATACAATTCCGACACTATTCCTGATGCATTAAATTGCCAAAAGAGCTTGCCTTGACACCGCGAGGCCCAGGGTAGCCGATCGGACCCTGCGGGCCCACTGGACCCTGAAAGAAAAATAACGGTGCATCAAAGCTTTTGCATCCAAATATTTATACGTCGATCTGTTCTATATTTATCAAAGTTGCTTTCAATCTGGGATTCCTGACCAGGATGCCGTGACAAATTAGCCTGCAGTGAGAGATTATTAACAGTGTTATTCATTAATCCCACATATCGTTTTAGTCATCTATCTCTGGCACTGACGTACAGTGACAGGCAGATTAATATAAATGCTATTCCATAAAATGGCAGAAGAAACAAAAACGCTGCCGAGCCACCTGTTGCCATTCAAACAATAGATTATTAGCTTTGTGCACAAATAAAGAGCCATGATGAAACACTATTTGTCAGTACATTCAGATGAGGTTATTATTTCAGTATTTTATCATTTTTGTGATTTTTAAAATTTTTTATTTGGTGGTTTGCCATCTCATTTCAAATGTCAAGGGTGACTTGGCTCAATAAATTGTATCACTTTCTTTTCTTGGCAAAGGATAATGTTCTGTTCAACCAAGAAGATAATCATAATGTTGATTAACAAATCCTAAATAAATATATGGGATAGAGTCAATGTACTGATTCAGAGGTGGAGAAATAAAATAATACTAACTGCTGTGGTGTTTCCAAATGCGATGAATGTTTCTTAACATGAAAATTCGCTTACATTAAGCACATGTATTTTCTCATAATTTAACTTCATTCATCACCATTGATTATCTTTAGTACATATCATGAATACAACACAAAGTAATTCTTCAGGGTGGACTAATAAAGCAAAGTAATGACCAAAAAAGTTTAATTGTGTCATAAATCATCATTTCGGTTTATTTATTTATTTCAGATTCATCTTGGTAAAAAGACGAGACTGGTTTCCAAAAGGCACCTACTTGGGCTCCTTTTTCTCCAGGTGGACCCTCCTTGCCAGGATGACCCTTTAAAAACAAAATCAGATTAGGCAGATCACACTAAAAGTGACACAAGGAGATGTGAAATGCTCTGTCAGGATGTGTTGCTTTGTCGACATGGAATGAGAGCAAATGAATCAGTCTGAAAAATGGCAACATTGAAGCATTTCAGCCGTTTTCTGTATAATTTGCTTGTGCACCGGACTTATGAACATGAGTGACATTTAGCTCTTCAGCAATCTCAAACAGCTCCACTCAAAGAGCTGACAAGTGAGTAAGAGATACGTACGCTCAGCACCGAATACAAAGTGTTTTTTTTTTTTTTTTTCCAGATAGACAGCTCTAATGAAACAACATTCCATCTTCAGAGACATATGTAACATCACGGATGTTGAAATTTAAATCAGGCAGACCAGTTGCTGACCAGTGGACCACCGTGCCGTGCCATGAAACATAAATGGCAAAAGTTGAAGACCACAGACACAAGTCTCCACTAGGTTTCAATTTACACTGGCCAAAATAATCACAATTGAGCAAGTTTCTTCTTTATTGCCAGTTCATGTGTATGGAATATTGGTTTTCGGGATGCATGAATACAGGTGTGAAGACCACGTACAGGGGGTCCATCTGCACCAGGTAGTCCAGGCAACCCTGACCTGCCCTGAGGACCCTGCAGATGACAAAAAAAAAATATTGTGGGGGGGGGGGATTACAATAAAACATTTCCCTCCCAATGTATGCGCATAAAACTAGATGCTTGCAATTAACAAAAAGAAAAATAAATTGAATCCATACTTTTTCACCAGGAGGTCCAATAGGGCCTTGGGGACCAGGAAGACCCTACGAAGTAAACGCGTACAAAGAAATAAATGAGCCTTGGTTTCTATGACAACAAAAACACAATCAGCTGAGGAGTACTGTCAAGAGTTGAGCTGCTGGAAGAATGTTAAGCTCGTGTGTACGTGCGTATGTGTTAAATGAGGGGTGATCAGTGGACACATTAGCATTTAGCACTCATGTGAGACTGCTTGATTAAACATTTAATGTGTGCAATGATGTGTAATAAAGCTTTTTTGTGTGTGCTAACGAGTGCATGCGCACACCATTTGAGGTACTTCAGCTTGCAGCAACAGGTGTGACACCCTTGTCGGAATGCCATTAACATGAGTAGGATGCTATCACGTGAATGAACTACAAAAACACCTGTAAAATACTGCAAAAAAACCCCAGCAGGTGCGGCAGAGAAGGTTGCGTTCACTTATAGTGTCTTCAAGTGAGAAGGCTTTAAATTTCACTTTGGAATATAATACAGAATGGCAGTTTTTCCACAAGCCCCCCTCTTTGTTTTGACATAAGATTTTAAGACAGAGTGTGATTAATGACTTTACCTGAGTGCCTGAAATTCCCTGTTGGCCCGGTGGTCCTGGTTCTCCTTGTGGTCCCTAAACAAAATGAAGAATAGCACAACGTCTGCATTAAACTCCAAAATGTCACTTGGATTGTGTACGTTAATATCATCACGCAAGGAGGTGTCGTCCTTTAACAAGCGTCAAGACGGGATTTGCAAGAGTGAAGCATGGAATGTAAATATGAAAATAACGGGAATTATTCAAATTCAATGTACGGACGAGAGCAGTATTGCCCCCCAAAGTGAAAATCATCCCTCAACTTTATTGTCGACATTTTTCTGTCTCTTTTATAGGGAATTTGCCATACTCTCTTGTCCGAAGGGATCATACAACAAGTCCGAGGTAGTGATCACGGCACTTTTCAAAATGACTCGATAGGATGAGAAACAGCGCAAAATGCAAAGGATCCTTCAGACCTTTATTTATGGCAAATGCCATGACAAATATGATATCACGTCAGGGTCACATGGCTCAGTGTGAGCAAATGACGGTTCTCCTCCGTAGGTCCTTTGAGGCACGGGGATGACCTCTAACCTCACGGCCGTGAATCCCAAAGGAATGTTAACAGCCCAATGTAGACAGTGCAAAATTGCAGAAACAGTACAGCACAACTCCCGTCACAAATGATGGAGCCTTAAGAGCTGAGAGGAAACATTTGAAAGACAAACAGAGACAGTGTTATCTTCTTACCATGTTTCCTTTTGAACCTGGAGGTCCATCAACTCCAGCAATACCCTGTGAGGGACAATTAGGTAAAAAAAAAAAAAAAATGAGGAAAAGTACAAACCTGTGACCGATATCATTCAGCGATCAACTAAAGTATTGTAAGAATGATGGTGATACATACAGGTGAGCCAGGAGGGCCAGGGGAACCGCGAGGTCCCAGGAGACCTCTTGGACCCTACAAAGAATGAGAAGAAATCAATCATTAATCATACAAAAAAAAAAAAAAGAAAAAGAAAATGTTGATGCTACATCGGAAAAACATGTGACCCTGGTGGACACTTTTGGTAAAGCATGATGAAACACACTATCAGACATGCATTCATTTTGAATAGAGTATAAACATTTGGGACGCTCAGAATATGTAATAATAGTGAAAAAGTTAAAAATAAAAATCAAGTCAAACGTACACTCTCCCCAGCCAACCCTCTGGGTCCGATCTCTCCATCCTCACCCTGTCGAGAGAAATAGACATCAGTTTGTTTTTTCGTGAATTCAAGATTTAATAAGAACATAACAAAATAATACAAACCCCCCATACAAAATAGAACACGTGATCTGTGACACTCAGCATTTCAAACTCAATTTCTGTTTTTGTCGAGCAAAATGGTAGTGAACCAAACATGGTCGAACGTAGTTACAGCATGTATTGAAAGGCCGAGTAGTGGGGAAAACTTCAACATGGCCGCCCTCCTCCCTCCTTCATATTGTCTCTGCCATAGATTGATGCGACTCAAAATTGTAATGAATGACTTCAGTTTAGTGTTTTTTTCCTCCCCTTTCTTTTCTCTAACTCAGCCTGGATCTGTATTAAAAATAAGAAGTACTTACTCTCTGTCCATCCTCTCCAGGAGAACCTGGCGGTCCCATTGGTCCTGGCTCACCCTGACAAAAAGAGGAAGTTTCATGTTGATAACCCGTAATCCTTTCAAGAAACGTACAGAAGGAATAATAGTATATTCTGTTGTTTGTATTCGGTTCATAATGCAGTTCAAATTGGAAAAACCTTTCATGTGGATTTGAGTTTCAAAAAGGAAAAAAAAATCACTTTGAGGAAAAAATTACAAATATTCGACAAAAGGAAATGTTACCCTGTGCCCTTTTTCACCAGGCAGTCCGGGGAGCCCATCAAAGCCTCGGTCACCCTGTTTCAGAACGATAAGACTGTCAACTCACAGCACCATAAGTGTGCTATTGCGCCATTTGTTGAACCACAAATGTGAATATATTGCACAATAAGTGCTAATGGTATTTGGTACTTTGCTGCCTGGCTCTCCGGGCATTCCACGTGCTCCGTCGGCTCCGGCACGACCCTAGAAACACAAGTTACTTTGAGCATATACGTACTGCAACAAAGTGTAGCAATTTTACCATCAGGCGGTTTGTAGGATTTTGAGCAAATTAAATAAAACACATGCATTGTGTTTTGGTGAAATTTGTCATTTCAAAGTAAAAGATTTTTTTTTTATTGTGTTCAAAAAACATCAACTAATGTCTCCAGTTTGAGTCACTCATTCATATTAGGCTGTTTTATGTTCATTCGTAATCAATTACGCTTGGCCCGTGACACAAATTGGACCCGCACGTCCCCGATTCGCTTTCTGACTCGCTTTGACATTTTCAGACAGATTAAATAGGGCGGCAATTGATCCGAGGATTGGAAGCTGCACGGGCCTTTAAGCACTTATCAAGCGATTGTTTGTTGGGTTGTAAATAATCCTCTCAGCGTGTGAGCAGCAGGTACAAACAAATCCACACACAACAAACACGGAGATTCGAACAAGCGCCTCAGTGAGAGTACCGGGGTCATTGAGTTCACTCACCCTCTTGCCAGCTTTTCCGGTTTGTCCTGGTGGCCCTTGGATGCCACGGGGCCCCTTGGAGACACATGAGAAACCCCTCAGTCACAAACAGTGTCCTGGAGTGGCTTCCAGTTCCCATTTGCTGGTTGAAACACAAGCTTCTCACCTGAGGACCAGGATCTCCACTTTCGCCTTTCAGTCCAGTTGATCCAGGTAGACCCTTGACAGGAGACAGAATAAATTCAACAAGCTGGCTATCACATTGTCACCCTGGCACTTTTCTCCAACAACGGGAGGGTTTGGTCAACTCGAACCACTAGGGGGAAGTGTTTAGCTACAATAAATCCCTTTGGAATGGGCCTCAACAAGATTGACATGTGCTTGAAGACTGCAACCAAAGACGTCCTGTAAATACGAATACAATCTTCAAACTATTTTTCCTAATTCAAATCTGTCTATATACGTGGTTGTTGCATGCGTATTCGATACAGCCCCATGAAGCCTTAGAAGTAACAAAATCAGGGCACACAACAATGTTTTGTATGTTAAATAATCTAAAGGTGACTCAAAACATGATATAAAGAAAGATGCTTTTGGAGATGATTACACTTGGACTGCAACCAGTGAAAGGCAGATTTCACAGAGGCATTGTGGGTGTGCTTTTGGCAGCAGATAATGAGTGGATCGTGTATCAACAAGCCCAAATGAGAGGTGGGGGCGGGGGGTTAGAGAGAAGTGCATTTCCCAGGCAGCTTTTAGCACCAAGATAGTAACAAGCAGGTGGTATGCATGCTGACACTGAGCCCCAAAATGCTGATGCAACAACTTTTTCATACAAACGATCCGGTTGGAACTTTGCAGCAATGCAATGATGCACCTCACGCGATTGCTTAATTTAAGTGGAATGGAAATCGTGCCATAAAACTTGTCAAGCCACAGTAAAGTAAAACATGTTGAGAAAAGGACCTCAATTCTGAACATGTTTCATTGCAATTACTTTTGTTGCATGTACCTTGGGGAAGTTTCACGGTTCCGGGATGATATTTGTGAAAAAAAAAAAAAGTCATTGAAGTGAGTCATTGAAATAAATTACTCACCACTGGCCCCGATCTTCCTGTCAACCCCATCGGCCCTGGGGGGCCCCTCATAGCCAGCTGCAAGATAAATACCAAATTAATCATCATGAAGATGATTCATATGCTGTATCTATCTAGAAGCTTTTAACACAAATTTCTGTCTAGCTATCACATTTTAACCCAGAAAAAAAATGCTAACATGCTTTTATAAATTTGTAGATATCATTTTCATTATACTGATATAGCTGTGTACATAATTTCATCGTCATCATATTTCATTAAAACCTTATCATGAAACCTTTTGACAAAATATGTATGTTGTAAAAGTTGTGTATTTGTTATGAGCTTGAGTTTTAGGGATATTTTGCTATTTTTACTCAATGCAAAGTGAAAGCCATTATTCCCACCTAAATTCACCCGCAAAAAGCACGTCATGTTTTCCAGTCTTTCACTTCATATCCTTGTCCACTTACTCTGGCCTGGGAAAGGATGGCCTGAGCTTGGGCTTCTTGGGCCGACACCACCGGACCTTTCTCACCATCGCCGCCAAAGCGGAACTGTTACACACAAATATACGCACACAAAGGCCAAGAAAAGGTTCATCGGTGCGTTAGTAATTGTCCCTCATTATACGAGGGGACAAAAATGACTCTGGTTGAAGTGTTTAAATGTTGGTCGAACCTACCGGCAGCATCAGCATGGTACCAGGGGGCCCAGGCAGGCCGTCAGCACCGGGCAAACCAGCACGACCGGGAGGACCCTAAAGTGGATCGCATTTAAAGAATAATAATACATGAGTCACTGTCAAACATCAAGTGAGGGAAAATAAAGAGTTGAATTGTGGGGCTTTGAGTAAATGAGTGGACGCTAATTGTTATTAACAGTGTCACCAAATGCAAATACAGCACTCCATGGTGAGGAACTTCATCAAGTATATCTTGTTTTAATTTAAATTCATATTGTGAAGTCTTGAGCAGGCCCCCCGTACAAGGACAGCAGGCCCCTTGATAGAATGCCGCAATAGTGCATCGATAAGCCAACAGAGTGGCTGAAGCCAATGTCATGTCGGCCACTTCAACACAATGCCAAGCACTCAAACGAGGTAAATAGCTGTCGATTTGATACAGCAGCTCGCGAGACTTTTCACTGTACAACAATTTGATTTGACGTGACAAAGACATTTTTGAGGTATTGTGCAAACGCAGCAGTTTTGACCTCCGGGTCTCCTAACCGATTAAGTGATTAGTATGCACACACACTGAAATCCTGTGCAAGATGTAATTAACTTCAGCAGTTGCTGAGATCATAATTAACTTAAAACAACATGCAAGTCAGAAATGCGTTTCACACTTCAGGACAACAATAGGCTAATTGCTGACCGTGTCACCAGCGTCAGAATTTTGGCGTCCACATTTTCGCATCACAGTGGGAATGGTACAGTTGTGGTGGGCACGATATGCACTTGTACAACATTCAACATACAAGAGCATACACTGCTATAAAGTCCCCAAAGATAACTTTCTGGACAAGAGGAGTCTTTTTGCAAAATTTTGCAAAAATCACCCCTCCCACAACCCTCAAAAAAAATATATATATAATAGATAAATAAACTCACTCTGTCACCAGGATCTCCAGCAGCACCAGGTGGCCCTTGTAGGCCTGAGGGACCAGGAAGACCCTTTTCAAAGACAACAGTAAGTTAGCCGACAAATAGCATATTTCTTTCTATAGTCATATATACTCACAGCTGGACCAGGGGGTCCTGGTGGTCCTTCAATCAGCATGCCCTTGAAAAAACAAATATTGTTTCACCACCACAAACACTAGCAGTAGAAAAACAGAGCGTAAAAACAAAACGGGTTGACTCCGAGTCATTGGATTTGACACGACAGCAAATCTTTCCAGAAATAAATGATTGGGTATTGCGAGTCCCTGATCACCAAATTTGGGGGTCTTACAGGTTCAATCACAGCGGGCTCGCCCTTCTCTCCCTTTTGGCCAAAGGTTCCTCCAGCTCCAGCAACCTGAGGTTAGAAAGACAGCAAAGAGGTAGACATTTTGCTCAGTCCGTCAAGACTGTATACTGGGTGTCATGTATTGTTTATACGTGGGCGCCAGAGGGAGGATTTAAGTGCAACACTTGGGAGTGAAATGACTAAACAGGCATATGTTAGTGATATGTGGAGCAGGGGGGGGTGACCCCTGGACGAGTGCGCTTGATGTGGAGCAATACAGTGACTGCATTGGCATTGTGCAGGGTGGCTAACGGTGATCATCTAGAGCAATATCTGATGTCGAGCAAGCTATTCCAGACGTGCAAACCCCGGAGACAGAAAAATAAGGGGAAATGCATTCACATTCGTATTTGTGCGCAAACCAATTTGGATTCAATTGTTGGTGATGGTGTTTCTGGATGACAGTTGTCTGAATGGTTGAGGATTATGGGTGGGGGGTCACTTCAGACTCATAGAGAGTAGAATTAGAGGTTGGTGACCCACTTCATGTGGAATTAATGGCCGAATTGGGCGTATGTCACAGAGAGTCTGCTTGGTGAGCCAAAACAGATCTTGATGATAGATTATTAATCTATCGCCAAGATCCTGGAGGTGCGCCTGATTCGTTAACGGGGGTCTACTTAGACGGGTGGCGGTTTGGTGTGGAGAGATGTCAAAACAAACAAGATCATTTGGAATGCTACGCTTTCAAGGTCAGAATCTACAAAGTGAAGCATTCTGTTGTGACAAACCCAAACAATGAGATGCACGTGTCATGTGTCACTCTTAGAAGTCAATCAAATCACCAGCAAACCATCAGTAGGATCGACGTCACACGCAGCATGCCAGTGATTCATTATTCATGCCCACTAGGAAAGATGATAACCGGAAGATAGAATAAGCCCCTAAAACGTGCACACATGCACACACACCCCTCGGCCTTCGAGTCTGGGTGCGAATACTTACGGCGCTCTGGGAAACGTCCGTTTCAGCAGCCACCCCAGGCCCCAATTCCTCGTCATAGGCGGCAGTAGATTTAGAGGGGGTGGGGCCGTACTCATCATATGCCCCATAATCATACAACCTGTTGTCAACCTCTCCCAAGTCATACTCCTTTAGGTCATCATATTCCTTCAAGTCATATGCTTCCGCGCCAGCGTCCACGTTTTCCGCCGTTTCTGGGACAACGGCGGGCTCCGGCGTAACGGGAGGGGCTTCGGTGACATAGACACCGACAACATCCTCCTCCACAGCCTTGGGTTGTTACAAAAGCGAAGAAGAAAGGAAGCAATGGCCAGCAGAATGTTAGTTAAGCAAATGGTGAACCTTTTTTTTTTTTTAGAAGTGATCAGAGCATTTGCAAATGTATTGGTATCATTAAGAATGGTAACACCTTGAGTATTCAAAGGAAAACAGCAATTGTATTGGAAAGATTTCTTTTGGTTTTATTGTCATTATTGTCAACCTTTAGATATCAAATGTCAAATTACCACCTAATACAAAAGGTGTTATCATGATCGCTTCAAATACAGTCAAGAGTGTTAATGCACACACACTCACGTCACGACAAAATGAATATTATTTCAGCCTTCTTTTGCTCCGTATCATATCCTACAATTTACTGATACCGAAACAACGAGAGGCAGGAATAAATGTCGAACTGTCATTTCGTGAGCTCAATCATTCAGGATTGACGGCAAATTCACAAATTTGGATATCGCCGCTAAACCACAATCACTTGGCACACTCATTTCTTTCATTCCAACTTGTCGATTCAATTTGGGTGAGCATCAAAAAAAGAATGCGATCACACAGGTTTAGCTGGCACGAATGCGTGCAGTCAAATGATAGCTTTGAAGGCGCCTGTGTCATCGCATCCAAATCATCAGACGCTGCGGTAGGTAAAGCAAGTCGATAGCTGGCTGTGGCAAAGCTTTGGTTTGTGCTGATCGTTGTTCTGAACCGAACACGCAAAACCAAGCTTCTTGGATGACGGGAAACGCAGCATATGTTGTTCAATGACACCTTATTAATCGTCATTCAGACTTAAAACCACACATTTCCCTTGGACATTTTTCAATCTCAGTTTTTTTTTTCTCGGTTGTTTTAGGCAAAGATGTCCGACCACACAGCCTATAAAGTCACACAATTTGAAGAAAGATTTTAAGAGCAACCACCCAAAGATAAATAAGAGTTGGTTTCAGTCTTTAGACCTCAACATTCAAGATATGCAGGCTTGTGTTTTTTTTGCATCCCAAGAAGCTGTTTGTCTGATGCAGGGCACCACCCAAAAGACGCAGCGATTTCACTGAAATAGTTGTGTCTTTTCATACCAGATACCTGCTTGGGCAAAGTCCTCCCGGACCAAATTTCCCTTACGCAATTTTGCACTAATTTAAATGAAATGAGAATGAAGATCAAAGTTACCTCACTGGGTCCATGCGTGGCAAAGGGGGACTGAGTCTGAGAATCATCTACAGTTCCGTAGTCAAAGCCTGTATTGTAATCTCCTTCTACATTGTTTAGCTGAGGCATGTTGGAAAAAAAAAAAACAGGAAAGAAGAATAAAGCAAGTGTTAACACAAAGGTTTGAACCGGGGGTTATTTGCTCTAGGGGTCCTCCCAAGCTGACTAGAGTCTCTGCTCGAGCTACACGGAAGAGGTTAGGGAGCTCGCGGGCGACCATCACAGATTTTCTTTTCAAAATCTTGATGGGTTTTGTTGCTTCTCTCATCTTGATCGTTTACCCTAAAACTGCCTCGGGGTCGTGCCGGCGCTGTGGCTTGGTAGCCAGGCATCGGTCGCTTCTTCTTAGCGGCAAACTTTTTAGCCGGTGATTTTTTGGCAGCCAAGAACTTTAACGGCTTGGCCTTAGTTTTACTGAGGGACTTTCGGGTCCTCTTCTTTTTCATGGAGACACTACGTTTGGTTCTCTGGAAGAGGGGGGCGGCGACAAAACAAACACCAAGACAAACATTCAAGGGTGGAAATGATTTCAAGGCACAATCAGTGAATGGTGTCTAAATATTGTAGTCCAATAACAAGCCATGACTGCTGCAACCATGTATACCACAAAGAAAAAAAATAAACAACTTGGACTACCATTGCAATGATGCGCACGATAATGTGGATAAGATACAACAATCACAGATGGTGCCTTTCATGAAACACAGACTCCATGTTGGGACATATGTACGATTTTTGGGACAGATGCACATTTGAATATTTGCTTTTCAGCAGCCCTTGATAGCTATTGCGGCACAAGAAAAAAACCTGAAAGTGGTTTTCGCTGCCACTGCTGCTGCATTTTTTTTTTTTTTTAAACATTCAGAGTGATAAAGACATGCTGGAATGCAAAGACGGGATTCAGTGGCTGAAGCCTCATAATAAAGACGGAGGTGTTTGACACACTGAGTATGTTTACATGCACATTATCATGTCAAGTTCAACCATGCCAAAACAACTTACGAAGAAAACAATGTTCAGTTTTGATTGATACCGCAATATATAACATATATGCTGTTATTGTTGTTGAAAGGATCCAGTGGCTACGGCAACTAAACAGTGTCATCAAAACAGAGCTTTCTAAACTGGACCCCATCTCAACTTATCATGAGCCTTCTTCAAATCAATAATCGGAATATCAATGTGCATATAAACATAACATGGACATACAGACAAGACCAAAAAGAGAAACCAAAGAGGGGATTGTAAACAAAGACAGACGACAAGTGGCTTTTCCGTTTTTCATTTACCTGCGGCTCAGAATACTCATCATCGGTCGGAACGATGTCAGTGGGGCCCTCAGCATAATCATAGAACTGAGAGTATTCTAAATCATCGGTAGTGTACTATAGATATTGACATAGAGAAAGAACAGGGAGAAAGGAAGGAACGTGTTAACGTTTGCAACAAGAATGCAGAGGGAGATGATGCATCTAATGCAGTCACCACAAGCATGTTAAACGCGTCGCGTCATTTGTTATGTTATTCAAAAAATGAATAAATACAGTCAGTTTATATACATTTACGCTTTTTTTTTGTTTTTTTTTCATTTTGGATGGCATTATGCATCCACATTAATATGCGTAACAGAAGGATGCAGTAGCAGCTTGGATGTGGCGAGCAGATGAGTGGGATACGGAAACAAGCTCTGCTGGTATTAGCCTCCAAACATGCTAACAGATGGGATGTTGAAGCGCTCGTAAACTGAAGGAATACAAAAGCCAAACTTCAAAGCCCTATACACCAGCTGCATTTCTGAGCACACTGTAATGGAACTTTCTCATTGAAAGCACGTAATGACACGCTTCGGGGCATCCAAGGTCAACTAAATGGAAGACGAGTTCCAAGCGAAGCGCGCAGATCCTCATTGAGACAACATACGAAAAGATTCAATTCACTCATTTATCTGTTGAAGCCATGACGTCCGAACAGCAGTTAACATTTCATGAGCTATATTTGACCTTTGCTTTATCAATGGCCAAACTATAACTCGGACAAGCAGATCATTGAGTGTGCTTCAATCCAATACTGTATATAGATCAGGGATCTTAAACTCACTTCACCTATAGGTATAAAGATTACAATTGGCATCTCCGGTTAATTACTTATTTCCATGCCTCCTTAAGTATATAAAGGGTGATACCCTTTAGAAACTTTCCTTAAGTATGCATGTAGGAAGACATTAGAGACAACTAATTATTATTAGAGACAACCAAGTGCCGTACAGAACTCAGACAGTCTCTTCAGTCATCAGTTCAGCACTCATTTGTAGCCAGCACATCAGAAAAAATATCCGGAATATGCACTAATAAACAGCACCATTTTTTTAAACACTTGTGTACTCCCAAACCAAGACCCATCTACAGTATCATTTATAATCTAGTAATCAGTTTTAAAGGAATGACCACTTGCACAAGAACCTGCATATAAAAAAACAAACAAACAACCAAACAAAATTCACCTGGCCACATTTTGGTTGAAGTAAACGATAAGAGCATTACGGTACACTAGCACACGATGGCCTAATAACACCTGCACTATTTGAGTGCAATAAGCAAATATACAATTTAGTGAATGTTGAAACGATTACGCATGCTGAAAAGGGAATTAAACCACGACTTTGCAGAACCTCTCCCACCCTCCCTGGTTGGCTGACCTCTTCCTGAGGCTGCTGGGCCTGCAGGGATTCGCCATGGGGGGTGTCACAGTCCGGGCTGTAATGTTCACAGTAGTCGTATGCCGCTTTGGAATCATCAACGATCAGAAGTTGTTGGATGTCGCCCTGTGGAAGGTAGAAGAGAAAAAAAAAATATCCTCAGGTTAGCTCATGTGAGTGTTTGCTTAGCGGATTAGAGTATAGCACTTTGCAGACAAGACAAGACAAGGCTTCGAGCATGACGACGTGATCTGTGATCTCAGGTCTTATCTTGGCCCAATAGACTCCAACGTTTTGAGTTGGCTGGTATAATGTCAAATTCTCGGTGGCATCTCTCCGGAGTCTGGCAGTACTGCGCTGCCATTAAGTGTCTGTGTAAAGAATCAAGTTTGCACCGGGTGTATGCAGAAAGTGTTTCGTAAACGAGGCCCTTAGAGTCATCGGGGCAACTAGGTGATTGGCAGTCAAACATGAGAAGAGAGATGCAGGCTGTAACTTGTCAGGAGAATGTGAGCATATATTCGCCCTTGCATAAAAATGCGATCTATGGATTCTGAGAATGTACCTTCGAATAGACATCCATTTGCTAAGACTTGCAGAGTTTCTTGATAATCTCTTTGTACAACCGTCAGTTCAACACTCAAGATTCCTCCCTGAGCGGCCCTGGGTGGGTGTAATGCTATTTTCAAAAGGATTTGATTTTCGAAACAGATCCAGCAATTCATGTACTACTGGCCATTTCTGGAACAACTAATGCAAAATCAAACCACATTGTTTTTTTGTTTTTTGTTCCGTTGCATCGTTCGGGTTATGGTCTAAAGGATGGGCACTTATCTGTACATCCATTTGCCACACACTAAGTCACATCACGACAAACGATTAGTGATACATTTAATGACGAAAATGCATATCATCCAGTGACTGAAAAGCTCTGATTAGTGGGATGGGATGTTTGCCTGAAGGTTCTGAACACCAAATCACTTAAAAGGCGAAACTATCCTTCAAACAGAGGCATGACTGTACTGTGGTGAAAACTCAATGGCAAGTCTGACAAGCTCTTGCCATTTTGACGTGTGTGTATGCGTTTGTGGAAACCGGACAGGAAAGGACAGATCAAGCTTTGCCTTGACTGAAGCTGACATGTATTACCTCATGTGTCACCCTAAGACCAACAGTGAATGCTTGAACCCGGCCTAGAGTCAGTTCTAATTAGCCCACGTCTGTGAGCCGCCCGTTTGCACACAAATACATTGCGGCAGCTTGGTGTATCATTACACTGCAAAAAGTCATAGAATTATTTTCCAGAATTATGTTCCACATGGCAGTGACAGTCAAGTCACGGCGAGCAGAAGAAACAATTCATTGACACGATCATCAAATCTACTCGCTTCTTGGAAACCCATGTGCCACACTGACCTTTCTTTCCAGGGAAAAATAACATTGTAGCCGTGCCATTTGGCAACGATGAAACAATTCACAAGCTCAAGTACAGGCAAGCTTAAAACTGCCAAATCAGGAGAGGGAACACCAAGAGGAACCTGGACACGGGCAGTCAGGCAGGGGTTTACAGAGAGCAGCTGCCACGGGAAAAGATGTTTTGTGCAAGGTAACACCTGGGGAGCGTTATGCCGAGGCTTCGAGTCTGTCTTCCGTGGCGGACTGCTGAGATAAAAGCCTTGGCGAACCTGGAGTAAAGCCAGAACTCCTAACGTATGCCCCTCCCGACTACAGCATTGCAAAATACGGCTCACAAACCATCCCGTGGGGCTGTGCCGTTAATGACTGCGGTACAAGAGGTCAATTAGAAAAGGGAGGAAACGGGGTCGAGCTCAACAGCGAAGACTTGTGAACCCCGTTTGCAACTCCTTATTAATGCACTGTTTTCATATAATGTACTCTTGGTAGAATTCACTGTGAGAGCCCTGTGGATATTTCGCAAGTATACTTATCAGTGTGTAGTGGCTAATACTATAAAACCGAAATTCACTCGCCAAATCAAAACACAAGCATTCATCAACATTTAGGTTCTTTGAGGTACTTCTCCCTCGACTACATGAAATGTCAATCATGGGCAACCTTCCTTTTGTACGATTCGAGCCAGCGATCATCAGACATCTCCACACAACAATTAGCTGACCCCCTTGAAAGGTCACACACACACACACACACAACCAAAAAATACATAAAAAATGGTTAGCCTTGGTCACTGAAATGCCTGAAAATATGCACACGATATTTGGGCAGGCAGAATTACATATTCACGCAACTTGAAAAGATTTGAGTTTTAAAGAACGCTAGATTTGTATGCCCTCAGAATACCAATGTACACGAATGTAACTAAAGTGACTGATCCCACAGCGGCCAAGTCACCGGAGTTAATGCAGGTGACACAGACAGAGAAACGGAACACCGGCAGTATTTGACATCGACTTCTGCCGATGAGCGCAAGGATCAGCGTGTTCTAACCAGGAAACGAAGGCACAGGCAGCGATGTACACTAAAGTCTTCAGTTCAGCCAAGTAATGTCACCCTTGCATGAATAGGTGGTTTCATTGCTTTGGCACGGTGGGGAGGCCTCAAGGTGGGGAGAGAGGTGAGGGAGGGGGAGGTGGTGGCGGGAAGGGCAGAACACACGGGGAGGAAGTGATGGGGAGGGGGGGGTGCGGGAATGAAAGACTTCCATTCATCTGAAGCAGGTTCCTTTCCAAAGTTGGTCGCTTCAAACCTGCGCCCGATATGGCATGAATAGACGTCTATGCAAAATAAAGGTCACTTTGAAAAAAACGATGCCCGCTTCAATATGAGAGTAAACGCATGCGAGATTTTCATATTTTATGAATCACTGTACAAACCAATGAGTAACCCGCACCAGATGTTATCGATTAAAATACCATAAAATACCGTAAGGCCGTTCGACTCTTGAAATGAAATGAATTATGATTTTATTTTGAGGCCATTTACCATACACTTGTCATTCACACCACAGAAAGACATCAGCGCGCCTCAGACCCCAATCCTTGTGACGAAAAAAAAAGGTTTTGAGCGAGCTGCTTTCACTGTTTATTTTCTCATTGTAAGCGTGTGTATGCTTAAGACTTCGGTATTTCCTTCCCCTTTACATCCCAGCATGCAATGGGCCCTGTGGATTTGAGCAGAGAGCGGCGACAGAGAACAGACAGGAAACCTGTTCCAAAAACCACACAGCGAAGACCCTGTTGGAGGACTTATGGCTCCTATTTTCAGCGCGTCCACTTTGTCGGCCTCTGACTGCGCACACTGTTTCATACAGATGCTGCCGTCTGTGCCCTCTCATAAAGGTAATCCAAACTGACGGGATATGCAACTATATCTGTTTCGAAAAACCAGGTTTTAAAATGAATTGTGCCTGCATTGCCTTCAGCGACTGGGAAAGAAGCAAACACAGCATATTTAGGGCCCTTTGTGTCCCTTTGGCAATGAGGAGGCACACCGAAAATACAAGCAATTCTTTTGCGTCCTAATAATGGCTTCCCATAAACAAACCAGCCCTCTCTTAGAAGCAAACATAGCCTCTCTACGACCTTTCCTTCCCACCAGAGATGACCAAGGGTGTCACTTCCATTATTGGATTGTTCTTCACCCCTCTATCCTCACATAACCTCGAAAGAGTTACCAAGTCTGCGGCGGCCTATTCAACCATTAAAAGCACTCCCATACTGTGCATGATACGAGCCAAATTAATGCATTTTGTAAGTGTTTCATGTGAGCAGGCAAGAATGTTTAGAGATGCAATAAAACATGGACAGTAGAACGCTAAGCTGTTTGTCAAACAGTTGAAAGCAAAACGTAGACAAGACGGACAGTTATTTTTGTTACACTTGCATGTTATATTTAGACAGTGTTGTTTATTGCTTTTCGCCTGCCCAATTCTGTGGTCTTGTCAGGTTATGCTTACATACGGTCCTTCGCACAATGCCCCAGGATGGAAGCAAGCATTAGTTCCAACTCCACAGATTTCTCATGGATCAAATGCTGCATTACACAGGAAGCGCAATAGAAATATACCACGTCCCAAGTTACACGTTTCAATTTGAAGCAATATTTGTGTTTCGATGTGCTACTTTCCCTACAGTCACTAACATGTGTGGCAGAATGATGACTATTACCACGAGCTGAATGTAACAGTTAAATCTTTCTTCTCTCAGGGAAGTCATGATAAGAATTACAAGACCGCATTCAATTACAGTTTGGATTTAACTCTTCTGACAGTTGCAGACGCAGTGGTTTCTGCCATGTTCATCTTCAACAAGAAAATCTGCATGAAATGTAAAATGCTTCAAATTAAGATAATACCAGTGCAACATTGGTTGGTCACTTCATCCAATTTGCTTCCAAGTGATGCAATTTCACAGATTGACAAAAATATCCCTCAAACAAAATCTAACAAGTGACGATGCAATTATAAGTGGGCGGATATAAGAATGCTGCAGTACTTAAGTGTTTCTAATTATAAGGTAGAGAGAACCAGTGACAAAGGCTCTTAGAAGTTTCCCAAGAGTCCACGTCGGCATCACAAAACAGATCAAACAAACAGGCCAACACAAATATGGTTATTGCGGCCACTGAAATTTAAGCAGATAGCACATCATGCATTCAAAAGTAAACAAGCCAACCAAAGCGCTACTACTCTAGTAAACTGTAAATATGAACAGGGACTCTTAAGACGGTAAACAAACACCAGTCTCCCTAATTCTATGCAATGCAGAAAAGAGTAGAGGCTAACTGCTCGAACCTTCTCGGCCCTTTTCGCACACGTGCCATCAAACAGAAATGTGTCTACTAACTATGCACTTGTCATAAAATCAAAGCATTGTTTCATGTCAACTCCACATTCATGGCAGTATTTGGCACTTTGTTATCGGCGCTTCACGTGGCAACCAAATGCAAAGTAGTTTAATCGAGGGATTGACAGAGAAGAGAAACGTGAATGAATGTGACTTGCAAAATTCCCATTGTTGATGGATGTATCCGCTGATGAGGACAACCTGCTACGCTATTGAAGCCACAGTCCATCTACCAAATCTACGAGAGTGAATGTAACTTGATCAGTGAAAGCAAGGCATTAAATGGTACCTGGAAAAACTCCTCATCAAGGATCCTGGTGCCAAAGACGGTGATGCCATTGGTGCTGATGGAGGTCTGGTCACTTCTGAGGAGAGGCATGGTGATCTTCTTCTTGCAGTCCACAATGACGGTGACTGTCTTTTTCTCCACACTAATCGCAACGCGATGCCACCTGTTCAAAAAGCAAAACGAAAACAAGGAATGGCCGATCAGTATGAACATACTTCGGAGCGAAACATTGATTCCCCGTTGCGCTCTCGTTCAATGGACGGGGATCATTTCGTTCGGGCAGTGACATCTCGAGATACAACGGGCTAACTGGGGTCACACGTGAGTATGACACCTCCTTCCACTTTGGAGCGTTTACCGCCGCGCTTAAGAGCTACTGCATACCAGGCAGCGGTGGACCACATTCTTGCCCCCACACTTTGGCCCTGTTTAACACAGGATTACACTCATTAAACTCCAAACTTAATCCTCCTTCTGGGTTACTCGGCATGACAGACATGGTGAACATTGTGGAAAGTGTGTGTCAGAATCCAGGAAGACCTGCCTCACCAGAGCAGGAGGCGTACAGTCAAAACATTGTTCCGAGGTGGAAGATGAGACTTGGCACCAATGAAAGCTTCAAATGGAGTACACAAGGCTTGAATCACAGATACAGATCCATATCTGATCATGTAGGGGTTGATTTCCTCTCATCAATCTTCTTTTGAACAAAAACATTCCAGCAACACAGCTTTGAGGAAAATAAACGTGCTGCACTGCACTCTCCGAGCTTAGCTGTGCGGCCGGAAGGATTACCTGTCACATTGTATGGTAGAAAAATAAAGGCTAACTTTGGTGGGTTCGAATCCACTTTTACAAATGGCCGCATTTTATATTGCAATGGAAATAACTATTGAAGATACAACGATTGAAAAATGACATGCGTTGGCCTCAAAATGGAAGACTTTACAAGCATGAACTGGCTTTGTGTGTTTTGTTTCACAAGATGGGGGCTTGCTGTCACAAATGAGGATCCTTTTCCACTGATAATACCTAATTAGGAAGTGGGCAAGGATGTCTCTGTCATTGTTTCCAAAAGTCTGGGTTTCCATGCCAATTGAACTAAAATGTCACTTTCAAACCAGGACGAGTCAAGCAGAGTTTCAACGCTTCTATTGAACAGTCACCATACGAGATCCTGAAAATGTATTAATTTCTCTCCAGCCTTTTTGTTTATTTATTCCCACTTATCCCTGCACAAGGGTTCATGTCAGCTAAGGCAAAGCTCTTTGTGAGAACTCGAGGATTTCTGAACCCGGGAGCATATAATCAGTTTTATGCGAAAAGGTTACAAGCACTGTTCCTGGTTGGGTGAGGTAATCCAAGAGGTAAGTAAAAGGGGGGATGTTGCAGAGAGGGGGGGGGTTAGCACTGCCTCCTCCAGCTCTCCCTCTAAAATAACAGAGGCAGTGAGTTCATGGATGGGGTCAGGTTGCCCACCGCAGTCCCTGCTGTGCCCCTGTAATCCTGCGTCCCTCGCCTGTCTCTGTGCCCAAAACCCCCCGATGAGATGGATAATCCAGTGATGGGCACCTATGGAGCATCAATGGGAAGACTTGCATTGGTTTCTTGCTTTTATCTAAAAGAGCAAACCACTGGGGATCAGAAAGTGTTTCACACTCTCTACATGACAACGCATAGCTGGCAATAGCACAAAATATTCTTCTGAATTGGTTTTTGTCAGCGTGTACGTGACAGTCCAGTATACGTGAATGATGACTCATATTGCAGCATAACTGGACTCTCTACCTGTGTAGTGCATATAGTTTGGTGAAGAGGCTCTGTAAGTGCATTTTTGTGTATGATAATGGAAACGTTCAGGACTTGACATACTTTCCATCGGCAAGGTTCAGTGTACGGAACAGAGGGTAGTCCTCCGGGGCTGGCTTGCCATTCTGATCCTCATACAGGAAGACAGGTGAGCGTCCAACTTCTATCCCCAGCTGCTGGACCCCCTGCTCATTGTAAATAGACAGAAGGAAGGACTGGAGGCCAGACTTGGGGCGCACTGTCGTCAAGATGGAGAAGTCCTCAGGGAAAACACCTTCTGGAAAGGGAGACCAGTTATTATGACTTTTGGATAGTCCTGCACTTGCCTCCCATGCAAATCTTCAGGTTGTAATGCAATGACTGCTATCAAAAGATTTATTGAAAGGACAGAAGGTTGTGATAGCTTCAGTCTTTTACTTAATACAGAAGACAACAGTGGGGTAATGTAGCATTCCAAGATCAACTGCAATACCTCGAACGGTAATTTATGAAATTTTCATATGAAGAATTAGCTGAAAGAGGTGAAAGGATGAGTTGGCGTATCTTACCGGGGAATAGCTGCGTGGTGGGCGCACTGATCTGGACCTGCTTGCCAACTCTGTAAGCAGCGTCCGGCTTTGATGCTCTTCGGTTTGTGCAAAATCCTGATGTTTTTGTCACTCCTTCGGGGTAATTTTGAAATTCTAATACTTTGAGCACATCCACTTGCTGTGCTGTGAAGAGATGCAAATGAAACATCAGTTAGGTCTTATCACTGCTATTGTGTTGAGTAAAACTATTATGGGTCCATAATGAAATGAAATGTAATTCATACTGACGTTGTAATTATGAGTAATGAAAATGGAGTGTCATGAAAAATTACTCTTCAGCACCAAAGGAAGAATCAGCAAGAAATCATTTTTGTCGTGAATCAAAACTGTATTTTAAGAACAAAAACTGCATCATAGAAGCCACACGGAGTCCCACTGGGCCAATATCGAAGACACTAACATAAGCCTTCACTTAAAATGTATTTTTGCAGAGTAAATATATGGACTAAGACATGTCTCGGACGACAAAACAACCCGAAACATCTCACTCCTGTTTCCCTGGAAAACTGCAATGGCACCCACTGGGCAAAATAAACAATGTGCCAACTGAGCTCCATTCTTGCTCAAGTGTAGGTTTACCTGGATAAGAGTCTCCTCGAGTTTTCCATTCTCTTCCATCTGATGCCCTGCACATAAAGGAGCACTGTGTGGCACAGCCATACCCGCTGAGCCCCATGTGAAAGCACTATGACTTTGCTTCTTCTTCAAAACTACCTCTCTGTGTCAACAAAGTTGGTAGATCGACCTATATACAAAGCACTCTTGTCCGATTCGGTTTGCCTATTTGCACGCAGCCAATTCAATAGTCAACTTAGACGATGAAACCGATAATCGGAAGGCCCCACGCCCCTTTTCCTGGCCCTTACCAAAAAGAACAATATGTAAAAAAGCAGTACAAGGAGGGAAAGCCAAGCCGCCCCACCACCTTTTTGGTTGGTTGGCATGTGCAGGTTTAATCCCTGGGTTTCTTTAACTGCCGAATACAAGGAGATCTTTGCAATTCTCTTCACAAAAGCATGTGGTTTGGGCGCAAGTCCCTGTTTCAATATGAATCTAATCCCATTGTACAATACGACGGGTGCCACCAGCACTTCTCAAAGAGCGGCGCGGGATCACGTGATGTTGATGCACATTACCCTTATTTGAAATGTTGCAGTTCTGAGTTTACGATTACTTACAGTACCTTTCCACGAGCCGGGCGCATTACATTGTCAGACAGAGAGCCTGTTTAAATCTAATCATGCAAACACTTTGAATGAAAATGGGCTCCAACCGTGTTCAAGCTAACAACGTCCCCGGACGTACATTTCACATTGGAATTGTAGTGGTTCACACAGTACAACTGACTGTCATACAACTGCTGTGGAATCAATTCCCACTCACTGCTTGCCTTCATAATCATCCTATGATTGAGATGCGACTGCTGCAGAATGCCCCCGAACAATGCATATAATGCATATCGTACAGAAAATGGATGAATGGCCCATCAAAAACAGACAAAATTTCAAGTTTAAAACAACCTTTCGGAAAGGTCATTCTCACATGCTGTGAATAACTAAAAAGGGAGTTTCACTCCCAAGCCAACAAAATGATGACGCAGCCAAGACATTTTTTTTTTAATTGTGTCATAGAGTTTTAGAGTATGTATGCTGTAAGCTGTTGTATGAACATGGCACACTTTGATGATGCCATGGGAATTACATACTTTTGCGATTGGGTCCCAAGGAAATGTATAGAGAACAAATGCAGAACACACCAGCTCAAAGCAAAAGGAAGGATCTCATCACGCAAGATTGTAACTGAGGATGGACCGTTTACTTACTTTGGAGAGCGAACTGAGGAAGTTACTGTGAGCTCCTGCAGAGGTGCTCTTTGTTCGAACTCCACTGCTCGCTCGGTCCAGATGCGGCCATTTGGCAGGGTGGTAGCCCTCACACTAGGATGCTGAGAAAATGTCAATAATGGCTATCTACAGTATTCAGGTGGCACAATGAGTGTGCTGAAATTTCAAGAGTGCATCTGATGCACTGGTGTGAGTTTACACTGGACGGCGAGTTGGGGAGCTAAGCAAACAGGGCCACATCGCGATCACCACAGCTCAGGTGGCATTTAAGGGGAGGCTCTCTGAATAGGCTGTAGGAGAGAGACAAATGGCAAGACGTCTTCTATTGCTCAGACATCATTATGCAAATCTTCGACACGTTGAGAAGGGGAGGAGTGATATGACGCATCATTGTTGGATGGATTTGATATCATGCCCATTACAGGTGTAATCGCTGCTATTGACAGTCTCATCACAGGAGAAACACAAAACACCTCAGCACATTAAAAAAAAAAAAAAAAAAAAAACATGGGGGGACCGCTGTCGTTTCTAGGCTGTACATTTTTACAGAAATTGGCTAGTAAATAAAGGAGAACCTTTTCACCTGCAGCTCCCTGAGACTCGAATAATATCTTCTACAAGAATGTCTCTATGTCCATACCAGCCCCCCCCCCCCCGCTTTCTCCTCACCCACTTTCCCGCTTACCCTCTGTCAACTTCCAAACCACCATCCCGACTGTTCAAACAAGACAGCTTTATGCGGATGTCATACCAACGGAATTTCTACCTTTCCTTCAGTTTTGCTTCATTAAAACCCTTTAGAGACGTCTTGATGTTCATGTAAACACATGTAATATGTCATCATATTTCAATAAAAATTCATTACTGCTCTTCTGAAAATTCCAAACGATCGAATCTTCCTCACTTTAGATAACACCTCCAGGAAAGGTAAAACAAGGAGCTGATTAGCGGTTGTTTCCTGCTTGAGCATATTATGTGCAGAGGACTCTGAAAATGCTAGCTTTGTCTTGTGGAATGCACATCTGAACCTGCGCCCCGGGGGCTGAGAAAACGTGTCAGTACACTGCTAGATGGGGAGAGCACCCTGCAGAAACAGCTTCAACTGTCATGACCCCTAAAGGTAGAGAGCCCTGACCATACTTGATTTAAAAAAAAAAAATAATAGTAATAAATAAATAAAGGGGAAATGGTCATTAGCTTTGAAAGGAGGTGTTGAAGCCAAGTGTAAAATTCTGTTCTTTTCACACCTATGGAGTCAATATGAAGTCCAAGAGCTAAAACTAAGGTAAACTAAGATCACTTCTCCATAAAGGAGTCGGTGGAGAAAGCCAACGATAATTCAGAAACCTGTTACTTGTGTGGCCGTGCCGGCTGTCAACCCAGCCTGTATACATAGCTGCCCTTTGAAGGCTTTGAAATCATAGGGGAGTGCAACAAGTACCATCACCAAATAACTGCACACTACTTAGAGGGGAAGCATTCCCACACAAGACACGCATCGTCCAGTAAGCCGAGTGAAAAAACATCTCAGTGCAAAGTTGAGAGGAAAAAGAGCTGGGCACTGATGGGGAGGGGGGGAGTGGGTAGTTGGTGGTGGTTGTGGGG